TTCTGTGGCCCTAAGTAACAATTCTGTGGCCCTCAGTAACAAATCTGTGTCCCTCAGTAACAATTCTGTGTCTGTCCCTAAGTAACAATTCTGTGGCCCTAAGTAACGTTTCTGTGGCCCTAAGTAACGATTCTGTGGCACTCAGTAACAATTCTGTATCCCTCAGTAACAATTCTGTCTTTCCCTGAGTAACAATTCTGTGTCCCTAAGTAACGTTTCTGTGGCCCTAACTAACGATTCTGTGGCCCTAAGTAACGTTTCTGTGGCCTTATGTAACGTTTCTATGGCCCTAAGTAACGATTCTGTGGCCCTAACTAACGTTTCTGTGTCCCTAAGTAACGTTTCTCTGTCCCTAACTCTCTCCCTGAATACAGCCAGGTCTGCCTCTGTTGAATGACTGGAGGCAAATGGAGAATTCTAAAATGGCCGCCATTTATAGCTCAACCATTACACTGTGCTGGCTGGCTGGCTGCTGATTGGCTAATGCGATCACATGTCATGAATGAATGCATTATGGGTCAGCGCGCCTTGTCTGCGCGCCTTCCCAGACATCCCCGCTCCGTCGCCGCACATGTCGCCGCCATTTTAGGAAAAATTTCGATTCGCGCATCCGAAGTCTGCTTATTTTCGGATTCAACGCGAATCAAAATTTTCCTAATATTCGAAACGAATTCCACTTCGCCTACTTCGATTCGCTCATCTCTAGTCATAACCCCTGTCAGGTTATTTTTTTGCCATCTGTGTCCCATTGACAAGACACATAGGATGAATCTCCCTAAATGACAGGTGTCCTTATCCATCTTCACTCTGTCCAAAACAAAAAAATGTTTTGCCTATAGTTACACTTTAATTTATGTTTTATAGTCAAGCACTTGATTACAGAAAATATGTTTTACTACTATAAAGTGTATTGCACAATTACCTACTGTATGTTATCTTGAATAAAAAAAAACAGTGGTATAAGGTAGCTGTTAGGATCCGCCAGGCGGAGCCCTCCGTCCGCCAGCTGGTAGACCTACCCAGAGCGTGGGGTCTAAGCCCGGGCTGTGCTTTCACCAGGGCCCCTGATGGTGGGGATGGACTTGAAACAGTCCCGGGCCAGGTCACGACCTCTGAGCGGGCCACCAGCGGCCGAGGAGGCCTCCGGGGATGTATGTAGGTACCAGGAGAGCCAGCTGTGAAGAGGATGGCGGCCCCAGCAGGGTGGTACGGATAGTGGCCCCGTGGGGTAAGCGGGGTACCGAATCGGCGGGCTAGGAGTAGTCGGGTCACACGCAGGGTCAGCCGGGTAAATCAATCCGTAGGAACAGTCGGGATAAGCCGAGTCAAAACGCAGGAGCAGGCAGAATAGTCAGAACAAAGCCGGGTCAATCACAGGAGCGGGTAGAATAGTCAGAACAAAGCCGGGTCAATCTCAGGGGCAGGCAGCGTAGTCAGGGTCAAAAACAGGGTCACAGCAGGAGCAGGTATTCAGGATCACACATAGACCTTGCGGCAATTTGTGACAGTGCAGGGCATCTTTAAATAGTGCGCCCTGCACTGTCATTGGCTGGCTAGGACGCGCCCCCGGCTGTCATTGGACGCCTGAGGCGCGCCCGCGGTTTCTACTGCGCATGCGCAGCGTCCTGTCAGCCGCGGCTCGCCGGGACCTAGTTCCTGTGTCCCGGCGTGATCTGCCGCCAATGCGCATGCGCGGGGGACAGAGCCGCGATTGCGGCAGACGGAGCCGGGATCCCTGACAGTAGCACTGATGGAAGTAGATTCAGCACTTCAGATCCAGTTCTCCTCCACCTTTTCAGATTGTCTAACACAGTGGTCTCCAAACTGCAACCTGAAGGCAGGATGTGGCCCTTTGCTTGCTATTATTAGGCCCTTGGGACACTATTTCTCCCACAGATGTAATGCACTATTCCTTTTCCTCCAACAATTGGGCGTAATCTTATCACTGATACCAACAATAGGGTACTATTCCTACCACTCACCCTAACAATTATTCCTAATGAGATCAAAGACGGGACACTATTCCTCACACTGACACCAATGATGGGGCACTATTCCTTCCACTGACACCAACAATGTGTTACTATTCCTCCCAGTAACACCAATGATGGGGCACTATTTCTTCCCATATTGCCAACAATGGGGCATTCTTTACTCCCATTGACTTCAGGACATTTTCTACTCCCACTAGACACAGTATGGCTCCCTCAAAGTCTGAAGGACAGTAAACTGGCCCTTCGTTCAATAAGTTCTAAAATAAAGATGAGAAGTTTGGCTCTGGCTACCAGCTCCAAAGCCATTTTCTTAACACACATAGTACTGTAGCACTGCTGATGTACTATGATCTGAAGATGATGATGAGCAAAAAAAAATAATGGGCAAGCAATATATTGATTGCTCTGTTATGAGTTATGTGTTCAGAAAGTCGGCAAAAATGGCCTTCTATGATATTTATATGTGGGGATTATGTTTATGGAAATGACTACTCTTGACTGGCTAATGGACAGGGCAATAAAAGGCACGGTGAAGGCTGTGATTCCGCAAGGTATTATGAGTTAACCTGACATCACTCCAGCAAGAAATATTTGGTGCAGTCCATGAATGTTCATTATAAGTGAATTGGTCTGATTAGGTTGAAGCACAAATGTGGAAAATTGATTGTTTTGTCACTAGTATCTAGTAAGTACACACACTGCAAGTAATTACAAATTCATGTAGTGGCTGAACTTGTTTTTATTATACGTTAGTTGATTCTGGATAAACAACTAAATTAACAATCTATGTCAAGCAAAGAACAGGAAAGCAATTTATATTCAGGAGTTGTCTTCCACGTATCACTGATTAAGAATGCCAATGTTTCAGTGCATAACAGGGGAACAAAGGGTTTTTACTGCTGTGAATTTAAACAGAAAATATCTAGAGCTGTATTTGCTTTACATTTTAAGATGCCCCTGAGCAACAGATATAAAGAGACTGGCAGAGAACTGCAGTGTGTTTGAGATGATGATATGTTCTCTGAGTTCAAAACAAAGTTTAATTGATTTTCACAGACTATGACTGAAGATATGTATGCAAAATCTGCATATATGCATGTGTGACTGTGAAGAAGAACCTTCACAATAATAGAGTTCAGAACATTGTACAAATCTTAAAGTGGAACTCCAAATAATACTTTTTTTATTTTGGAGAGATTTGGAAAAAATGTCAAGTTTTAAGCTTCCCTCACTCTCTGTGCCAGTCAATGGGACAGGAAGTGAGAATGACTCTTGCCAACATGGATACAGACAACTAAAAAAACCTAAGAAATACAACAAGACCGCAAACCGAGAATTCAATAAGGTTTTAGTGAGCCCATATTCAGATGAAATAAAATAGTCAACATGTTTTAGGAGCTCTGACATTTCCCCTTCATCAAGGATATAGGAAAAGGATGTACCCTTCTAGCCCTAATAGTATACATTGCAAAGAATTTTATCACTCTCTTGTTCTTCCCTCCTTCTGTGTATGACTTTCATTCACAATCTGTGAAGCAGATTCACACTCCCTATACCCACACACAGTTCCAATCTCCATGTCACCCTTATTATTATTTTGTTACCATATGCAGTGTCTTTAACCTGTTCTTTTACGTCATAGCAATCTATTGTCTTTTTACACTAAAATTCCATGTTTGGTTTTATTCAATCCATGCCTCCTCTGTTTATACTCTTGCTCCTTATCATACTTATATTATTATTATTATTATTATTATTATTAATATTATACAGGATTTATATAGCGCCAACAGTTTGCGCAGCACTTTACAAAATGAAGGTAGACATTACAGTTACAATAAAATTTGGTACAAGAGGAAACAGAGGGTCCAGCTCGTTAGAGCTTACAATCTAGTACTTATATGGTGCCTCTCACATTCAATGAGTTTTGTTTTTACACATCTGTCCTCCAACCACTAGTTCCCCCATATCCTTTCTTGTCTTGTCCTTTCCCACCAAAATTACTTTTCTCTCAACGTAAATTTTTTCATTACATACTTGTGGCTAAAATATTTATTGTCTCAACAGTTGCTGGTTGCTAAGTGGTCAATGACTATTTTGTGAAGTTCTTTTTTAAGGTAGGCTAAAATACATGTTTTTTAAATAATTCTGCTGATTGTTGTACATGTCTGTTAGACTCTCGCTTGTGACACAGAAATTACAGCATATTGTGAGCACAATGACTGCAGTATGTGTGAGCCATGCTCTTTCTAAGACCCTCCCTCTGTTAGCATAATTTGGCCACACCCACTATTTGGCCCCCACTACCTTTCTACTCTGGGGGGTGGGCATAGAGTATGAGTTCCTGCACCTGCTCTCTGAAAAAAAAAGCCCTTGTGATATTACATTTAAGGAGGCAAAACATTTTGTCACGTTGTCACATTGGAAAAGAGCTAGAGCATTTAAATCTTAAATAAACAACATTATACAAAAGCACCAGCATGTAAAATATAATGATATAACTCCTCCTTAGGGTGCAGGGGTGGACTGACCATTTGGAAACTCGGGCACTGCCCGAAAGCCCAAGGTCAATAGGGGGCCCCATGAGATGCCCCTGGTACCTTTTTCATAGGCTTTTTTGAGTTTGGGCAAGGACACAGGGGTCCCATGATCCCATATTGCCCAGGGGCCCCATGAGTTGTCAGTCCGCCCCTGTTATGGTGTCTATATCAGTCATTTAACTCAAGATTCAGAAACTTTCACCCAAGATGTACACCATTTTCACATTATATATTATTTGAAAATGTGTAAATCTTGGATGAAACTTGTGTGAATCTTTGGTAAAAACACTGAAAAATAGACACTGGGGGGGCGGGGGGGGTTTAATAAAACTGGAGCACACAGAATCTGGTGCAGCTGTGCATAGTAACCAATCAGCTTCTAACTTCAGCTTCTTCAATTAAGCTTTGACAATAAAACCTGGAAGCTGATTGGTTTCTATGCAAAGCTGCACCAGATGTTGCATCATGCACTAATGCAGGGGTGGGCAACTGTGGCCCTCCAGATGTTGTAGAACTACAAATCCCATGAGGCATTGCAAGACTGACAGTTACAAGCATGACTCCCAAAGGCAGAGGCATGATGGGACTTGTAGATCACCAACAGCTGGAGGGCCACAGTTGCCCACCCCTGCACTAATGTATACTATCTTTTCACTACCATACTAAGACATATTAGCAATTTTACAAAACTAAGCTATTGTGTGACCCTAAAGACATGTCATTGCCACACTTAAGAACCCCAATTTTTACCAAGTTGACTACCATTGGTTTAAAGGTAAATACCTCTCCTGACACCCTAGAACCCTAAACGCCACTCTGAAAACTGACACTTCTTGTCGTATCAATCTTATCCTGAGCCCACACAGCTATTAGTGGTTCCTCTGTCTGACATCAACGTCGATAATATGTCTTGCAATGAGGTAGGGATGGGAACTACTGAGCGCTGCAGGGAACACAGAAGATTGCACTCTTGGAAGTGTAGGTTTCTGCACAGACATATTGTTGACAGTTACTTTAAGGATTTAAATGCATCTTAATGTCAATCTTTTTAGTTTTTATTTGGTATGGAATCTTCAGTTCATCTGTAATCAGATCCCATGAGCACATGTATTTTTCTATAGAAATGTTGTTTACTATCCTATCTTGGTTTGAAAACCTCAGGCTTCCCTGCCTCTGTAAAGCAGTTTCCCGGAAAAAACGACATAGTTATTCCTGGTAAAAGCCTTAAGTGTAGCAGCATTAGTGATGGCTAATGTGTAAAAGGACTAGTCTCTCAAGGGATTTTATTGCTTTATATTGTTCTGTACATCATGAGAAATGCATCTGTGCCTAAAAAGGACTATAATTGAGCATCTGCCTAGATGAGAAATGTATGTACAAAAGTGGATCTGCCATTGTGCATAACCCCCTGGAGCTGCCTCTAGCAAAGCATCAAGAGCAGCATTTAGATAAACGTTAAATCTGAATCAGGTACAGAAAAATAGGTGATAATAAAATATTTCTTTTTATAATAAAATATTTCTTTTTGCATATTACAAGATGACCTAATTAGGGATTGTATTTATTTTGAGTCCAACTATTCTTAAAGCTACATTAAAAGTGCACCTGTACTAGTGTAGCTCTTCCCCCTGTAGAAGCCACTTAAAAGATGGCCAGGGTTCTTTTTCCCTGTAGTTTCCCTGCATCCAGGCAAAAAATTTTGGTGTTTTTTATTTTTGGAGTAACTTGGATGGTAAATTTCCTTCTGTAGACCTGTAAGCAAAGTCCTTGTAAAAGCGGTCAATGGACTTGGCTTTTTTTTTATAGTAGTAGCTAAAAGCACAAAAGCTTTCTCTTTTGAGCAATTTGAGCCGAGTCCCTTCACAAAGAATTAGATTTACTGAGCTCTTCAGGACACCAGCCGATGTCCCCTTTACACACACAGCTGATTCTCTAGCACCGGAGGTGTAGAAGCAGCCCACAGTCTCTAGGACCTCTCACACCAGTCTGTACTCACAAATCTTCTCAGATGTTGTTTGCCTCCAGCCAATATCTTACAGACATCTCTACCAATGACCTCAGACTAGATCCTCAGACAATAGCCCCTCAGTCAACCTTCAGCAGCTTTCAGCTTCCAGCCACCTCAGCTATCCAGTTGAGGCTTTAACAAACAGCAAGAACATTACAGGGTTGCCTAAGCGGGCAACCAGCCCCTCTTAGGCTGTGATCATTTCCTGCAGGTTAAGACAATTCTGCTCCAAATCTCAGACTGTTTATACACATTTGCCAGCAACCACCAGTGCAGGACTTCACAAAGGTTAGCTGGGACAATTTAAATATTAATGCTATTTATAGGTGAAACTCGAAAAATTAGAATATTCTGCAAAAGTTCATTTATTTCAGGAATACAACTTAAAAGGTGAAACTAATCTATGAGATAGACTCATTACATGCAAAGCAAGATAGTTCAAGCTGTGATTTGTCATAATTGTGATGATTATGGATTACAGCTCATGAAAACCCCAAATCCACAATCTCGGAAAATTAGAATATTGTGAAAAGGTGCAATATTCTAAGCTCAAAGTGTCCCACTCTAATCAGCTAATTAAGCCATAACACCTGCAAAGGGTTCCTGAGCCTTTAAATGGTCTCTCAGTCTGGTTCAGTAGGAATCACAATCATGGGAAAGACTGCTGACCTGATAGTTGTGCAGAAAACCATCATTGACACCCTCCATAAGGAGGGAAAGCCTTAAAAGGTAATTGCAAAAGAAGTTGGATGTTCCCAAAGTGCTGTATCAAAGCACATTAATAGAAAGTTATGTGGAAGGGAAAAGTGTGGAAGAAAACGGTGCACAAGCAGCAGGGATGACTGCATCCTGGAGAGGATTGTCAGGAAAAATTCCTCTTGTCAAGCCACTCCCGAACAACAAACAACGTCAGAAGCATCTTACCTGGGCTAAATAAAAACAGACCTGGTCTGTTGCTCAGTGGTCCTCTTTTCTGATAAGAACAACTTTTGCATCTCATTTGGAAACCAAGGACACAGAGTATGGAGGAAGAATGGAGAGGCACACACTGCAAGATGCTTGAAGTCCAGTGTGAAGTTTCCACAGTCTGTGTTGATTTGGGGAGCCATGTCATCTGCTGGTGTTGGTCCACTGTGCTTCATTAAGTCCAGGGTCAACGCAGCCGTCTACCAGGAGATTTTGGAGCACTTCATGCTTCTTTCTGCAGACAAGCTTTGTAGGGATGCTGACTTCATTTTCCAACAGGACTTGGCACCTGCCCACACTGCCAAAACCTGGTTCAATGACCGTGGGATTACTGTGCTTGATTGGCCAGCAAACTCGCCTGACCTGAACCCCATAGAGAATCTATGGGGCATTGCCAAGAGAAAGATGAGAGACATGAGACCAAACAATGCAGAAGAGCTGAAGACCGCTATTGAAGCATCCTGGTCTTCCATAACACCTCAGCAGTGCCACAGGCTGGTAGCTTCCATGCCACGCCGTATTGAGGCAGTAATTGCTGCAAAAGGGGCCCAAACCAAGTACTGAGTACATATGCATGCTTATACTTTTCAGAGGTCCGATATTGTTCTATGTACAATCCTTGTTTTATTGATTGCATGTAATATTCTAATTTTCTGAGATTGTGGATTTGGGGTTTTCATGAGCTGTAAGCGATAATCAACACAATTATGACAAATCACAGCTTGAACTATCTTGCTTTGCATGTAATGAGTCTATCTCATGTATTAGTTTCACCTTTTAAGTTGCATTACTGAAATAAATGAACTTTTGCACGATTTTCTAATTTTTTGAGTTCCACCTGTATTTTAGCAGCTTGTGAGACACAGCACTGACCTAGCCAATCACATGCAGCTGCACTGTTTACAGTGAGCTAAAACTAAATTTACCTAACCCAGAAAATGCAGCCACAGTGATTACAGTGAGACAAGCTAAATTTACCTACTTCAAAATCACTCTTTCTTTTTCTGCTTATGGGGACACCCACACATTAATATTTACAACCATTTAGAACCAAGATAATCACTTGCCTGTCCCTTCTACAAGGTCTTTACATTTATACTTTATTTCCTACCATGTATTTCTCATTGGATGACTTATGGGATGTCTCCTTTTCTGGGTAAATGGATCTTTCCCATCCTTCCTTCATCCTAAGCACTTTCATGTTTCATCCTTGTGAGTGGTGGAGTCACCTGCTGGCTCACCCTATCTGTCATACACCAGGTGGTGCCAGTGGATGTGCATTGGCCCCTGGGATGCATACCCATCCAGGTCCGGGGTGGACAAGCAGTGTTTCAGCAGCCCTATTACTGTAACCAACTGTATTAAATGATCATTTATATGTTGTTGTTGATCTAGTAAGTACTGTAAGTATGATGTCCTTGATGTTCCGAGCATGCAGCGTGGCAGGTCAGGCAAGGGAAAAAAAAAATGAGTGAGCGCCCCCCCTCCTTCTGAACCATACCAGGCTACATTCCCTCAACGTGAGGGGTACTTTAGGGCAGGGGGAGCTCCCTCCCAAACCACCTTGTCCCTATGTTGATGAGCACAAGGGCCTCTTCCCCACAACCCTGGCCTGTCGTTGTGGGGGTCTAGGGTCAGAGGGATTATCAGAATCTGGATTCCCTCTTTAACAGATCCTGGCCCCCCTATGTAAATGAGTATGGGGTACATGATACTGCTACTCATTCACAAAAAAAAAAGTGTAGTGTAAAAAATGACAGTAGACAGTCTTTGACAAGTCCTTTATTAAAACAGCAAAAATAAAAAAAGTCCCCAAAGATTACATAACAAAGGGCAGGGTCACCCGGTTGACCCCAACTACGAGTAAGGGTTATGGGGAAGAGGCCCTTGTCCCCATCAACATGGGGACCAGATGCTTTGGGGAGGGATCCCCTCCGTCTCAAAGCACCTGGTCCCCATGTTGAGGGCATGTGGCCTGGTATGGTTCAGGACTGAGGGGGCACTCGCTTGTCCTCCCCATTCCTGACCTGCGGGCTGCATGCTCGGATAAAGGTCTGATATGGATTTTAGGGAGACCTCATGCCATTTTTGAAAATAATTTTTGTGTGGGGGTTCCCCTCAAAATCCATACCAGACCCGAAGGGCTTGGTTTGGATTGGGGGAGGGGGGCCCACTTTTTTTTTTTTTGCTAAATTTTTAATTCTTTTTACATTCAACTGTCAGTGGGATCCCTGCTGACAACTGAAACATTAAGGCATGTTTCTGTTACTAAAATACCACATGATTTAATAAAATAACTCATGCGGTATTTTAGTAACTTTTTTTAGTGAATGCCAACTTTTTTGGGAAAATTCTGTGTGGTATCTTGCCACATACTCGGATGCAGTAAGATACCGCTTAGTGAATTGTCCCCTGGTTTCAAAGTTCGCAGTCAAACATTCTTTTTATTGAAATATACATGATTGTCTTATCTGTCTTATAAGTCCCATGTTTTGTTTTGGTTTTTTTTTGTTATTTTTGAGGGATTTGTTTTTCTTTTTGTTAACTGTTTTGTCTGATTATAGATCCTTTTCCTTTGAAGTGCTGGCCAACAATGTACCCCCAATATTGTACTTTTTCTCTAGGTGCATTATTTTACATTTAGAAACAATGAA